AATGTTAATTTATTAAAAACTTCATCACAATTAAAAATATATTTCATGTCTAAAAACTTTCTATATTTAAAATCTATTTTATTGATACCCAAATTTAGACACACGCAAGTGCAAGATAAGTAACACCTCCTTTAAGTGGTACATGATTGCAAGAAATATTTCAACTTATTCACTATATCGTATTGAATGAGATTTTTATATTTATATACAACTTATTTTATGATCCGTATACCGACTGTTGATCTAAAATAAAATCATTTGTTGCGATTTTATACGAACGCGACCAACTACTACTTTACTCCTCGTATTGGGTTAAAAACCCGGTAGTGGGTGAAGCTTTATGTATTTCGTAAGGCTTTCTGCACATTGGTCGTCCAATCATAGTTGCGTTATCGTCTCGCCCTGAAATTTTGAGCCGAGCACATGCATTTCAAAGGAGATCTGCACACTTGTCGTTATCGGCTAGTTATCGGCAAATCGTAGAAGATGCAGAATCGCACTGCTTACCACTACACCACAGCGGCCGCACGGCCGCAGAGCGTTCTATGTCACTTATTACTTTTTGCGCTTAGATGATCTGTTACCCTTATAGGAACCAGGGTTGCATTGTTTTGAATTAGTCAAATCAGTTGTATCAAATCCGAAATAAAATAAACTTATTATTTGTTAGAATAAATGAACGATGAAATTTATTGGTGATTTGATTCGTCGGCCAAATAAAAAATATTTTTTTTTTCGTAATTTTCCAACTAAAAAATATGTAAAGCAAGCACGATTTTCGAGTTTTTACAATGCAAATCAAATCACAAATAAAATTTAGTTTTTGTTTGCCCAACGAATCAAATAACAAATAAATTTTATTTTTTATTTGGTCGACAAATCAAATCGTATATAATAATAATAATAGATTGGCGCTTACACATATGTTATAGTGTTTGGCCGAGCTTCTCCTCCGATTTGTGGCGTGCGCCTTGATGTTGTCACACAAAGCGGAGGGACCTACAGTTTTACGCCGACTCCGAACGGCGATTGTATTTTTATGAGAAGCTGTTTTTCATGGCAGAAATACACTCGGAGGTTTGCCATTGCCTGCCGAGGGACGACCGCTGTTAAGAAAAAACCTTTTTTCTATATTTTTTTTTGCGATGTTGCTTTGACTAGGGCTTGAACCCAGGTGCCGATGAGTGAAAGCGCGCACTGCTTACCACTGCACCACAGCGGCCGTATATAGATTTCTGAATTAAACGCAGATTTACATAAGAACAATAAGGATATTAAAATACGCAACTCTGATCTGAACACTTCGGTTAATCGTTGGACTTCATCGGGCAGAGTTGAAAGTTTTGTCTTTGGTTAATGATTGTAGAGAGATTTACAGATGCCTTCGGATACAGATAATCGATTATTTGAGCCCAATAAGTAATAATTGACATAGAACGTTTTGCAGCATCACCATCTTGATTCGGCCAAAACTTGAACTTTTTCGTTTTTAGTTCTCTTTTAGGGGGCGATTTCGAAAATTTTACCACATCATATCGAGCCCTAACCGCCAAAATAACGTAAGCGACATTTTTTTTAAAAATTTTCTTTTTACGCTTACGTTATTTTGGCGGTTAGGGCTCGATATATTTTTCTCCATGCAAGAAAGGACCACTCTAATGTAGACAAATGGGTACGTTTTGTATATATATATGTATGCTCACTGTGCATATGTATGTATATTCTTCACTGTACATATCTACATATAATGCTTACGTTCAGGCCAAGCAGTCGATGACCGGTGGTCGCGGGTCTAGCGGTCGTTCATCCTACGTTTGCCAGCGCAACACAACTGCCCCACAGTTGATCGGCGTCGTCGTAACCGCCGATGCACATTGGCGCTGAGGGTTTGCAGCGCGAGCCAGTCGCTTTTCTCAGTTTTAAGTAGTGAGTTGTGCAAGTTTCGGTACCTCGTATTTTCCTTAGTTTTTAATCGCAGTTCGTGAAGAAACATTCGTTGGCTAAGCTTGCCATCATTCATACCACTTAAATATATATACACAGCGCTTCGTTATTCAGTGCCATCGCTGTTTAAACATACTACCATTATACATATATTTATTACGAAAATGACACAAAATACCGGTTACTTAATGCATTTAACTATTTAATTATCTTATAGTGACAAATAATATACATAGTTAAGATAGTTTATACCAACAAACATACATTTTTATATGAATTCAGATGAATTTACATTCTTGCCTCGGTGAGTCAAACAAAGATGACAGACAGAGGCGCACGGAATGATAAAAAAAAAAATTAAATACGAGAGTACAAAAGAATTTCTGCATTTGGCAAGAGCGTAGGAGTGTAGCTTTTTGACTTTCGAAACTATACTTAGTACCTACAGTCAATCTGGCATTTGAGTTCTCAAATAGTCTGCGCAAAATAACACTCAAAGCTGAATGTTTAGAAAATTTCCCTGAACAACTGAACAAAAAATAAGAGGTCAAGGTGTTTCGCTAATATTGTTAATTAATGAAAAGCTGATGAAGTTTTCGAGGCTAACGCAAAAAAAAAATGCTCAGAACTTATGTTATACGACTACTAGCAAGACAATAAAAAATATCAGAATATAGAGCAGCAAATTATCCACAATATATGAGAACCAACCGTATATTTGCAATTTATTCTTGAAGATTTTTTATCCAGGATTGTGCGAAAAAGCGGAATTTTTTATTCGAATACAAAGAATGAGTAAAATAAAATTTATTTTATTCATTTTTCGACATGAGTAAGTTAAAATATTGTGAAAACATATTTTTCAGTGAAAATTTTAGAATTCGGGATGACATTTATAACAATTTGTTGAGCCTTAAAAAAATCGTGTTTTTCATGTGTTGTTCCGGGTAATTTTCTGAACATTTTGGTATAAGCTTCATCCAGCGCAGACTCTTTATTATTTACCTCACAGGTATAAAACGTTTCTAAATAGATCGACTCAACTAACTGGAAACATAAGTACCCAGCAAAAACTTTAAACTTTTTGGGAAGTACTTATTTTTGTATCAATCGAGTAATGCAATAAAAGCCGCGTCAAGACAATTTACAATTACAAAGGTAAGCGGTTACCCCAAATTGGGGAACCACTTTTCGAGAGTAACCGCTTACCTTTTCGTTTACAGAATGCATTATTTTAACATGAGCATGTCATTGGAGATAATCGAATAAATGTAAATTTTCTTGCCTTTGCATTACCGGTAATGCCCAAAAAATGAAATGTTTTTGCTGGCTAGGTGGGTTTTGGTTAGTCTGTTTTTGTGTTTTTGGGCCAGTGTGTTCGTGTATTTTGAATAAATTGTAATAGAAATGCGAGAAAATGTAATAGAAATTGTAAAAGATAAGAGCAAACGCAAAAAAAAACGGGTGATCCCAGCTGTGGGCATTTTTTGGCAATCATCTGATAGTGTTTTTACTCAAGCCTACTATACAGTTCAATACGAGCGTGGGCGTGAGCTTTTTATTTTGACCAATATCGTCGTTATTACGATACATCGAAGCAAAACATCGATATTTTCGATGCATCATGTTTTTCCGACATCCCCACTTTGGTTGAAATTCACGCAGGAGTGAATTACAGAATGCGCCCGTATATTCGGCATTTTTTTTTTTTTATTTGATTGCTACCTGTGTTTTCATGATATGCTATAAGTTTTCAATGCAGTGCAGGTATGGGCTGCTACCTGTCCAGTATATTTAAGGTCAAATTATTTATTATTATTCAAGAATGCCCTACTTCAGAATTTGCTTGAAGAACGCCATATCTCAGCATTCAGTTGAAAAACGTCCTATCACAACTGAAAATATATTAAAAATGTTTTCAGATAGGGCGTTTTTGAATCAGCACCTGGGATTGGGTGTTTTTGAATCGAATTCTGGGATTGGGCGTTCTTGACTCAAAATTTGAGATAGGGCGTTCTTCAACCAAACGCTTGAAAAGTTTTCTGAGATAAGGTGTTTTCGAACTGTCTGCCGAGATAGGTAGATCTTCTAAATATCTTATATTTAAGTACGAAGTTTTATACAAATCACGACAAACTTTGTATCGATTTCTAACAGACACGAGCAGAGGTGAGGAGGGCATTTAAGAGCATAAGAACTGTTTGTATTGTAAAACCAGGTGGCCCAGATTGTTAAAAAACGCGCAATTTTCGCTCCGTAAGCAATTATCCAAAACTCTTCAGAGTCGGATGGAATGGTTCTGAGAAAAGTTATTCCATGTGAAAGTTAAAAGATTAAAATATTCAGTTTCCGCAGCTCTTCTTTCCTTCAAAGTCAAATAGGGAATTGGCAGGGCCCTGAAACTCGCCCTCTTGTGATTCACACCCTTTTCTGGTGACAAAATCAAATCATTTTTTGAAAGTATTTCTTCTGTAAAATTATCGTGGAAAACTAACTTTTATAATTGGGAGAAATTTACTTGAAGGGAAAAAATCGCCAATGGCGATTTCATAAATTTTTACGCGCAAATATCAAAAAAAAAAACAACGCCAAATTGGTGCGAAATCGCCAAATCTGGACACTCTGTGTAAAACCACCGGGAGCGTGATGAATATAGAGAGATACATTATCATAAATTTTACGGGGTTTGATTGAACAAAATTTTACGTCCATGCGGAGCTCTGTGAAATTGATTCTTAGCTTTGCCAAACCATTGTACATTTGTGGCCAAGAGAGCAGAAGTGGCCTATCCCAGAATTGGGTAGTTAACTTTTTAAAAGTTGACTTATTCTTTAATTTAACTATTTACAGTTATTTCTGTGAGGACGTTAACAAAAAAGTAAAAAATATAAGTCTCGCTACGAATATTTCCCCACTTTTTTTCTGCCGATTTCAAAATAAATTAATCCGTAACTAAGAGTTTAAACAGTTTTTCTTATTTGGGGCGGTTGCTATGGTTCGCCATTTTTTATTAGAGCTGCATATTTATATTTACCTAATTATTTTTTGCTTCTTAGTATTGCAGAGGAGAAGAAAAAGCTTGGCAATGACCAGTACAAAGCACAGAATTACCAGGCTGCACTTAAGCTCTACTCCGATGCCATTCAATTGTGTCCCGACTTCGCTGCTTACTATGGCAACCGCTCTGCCTGCTACATGATGCTTTCTAACTATATCAATGCATTGAACGACGCCCGTCAGGCTGTGAGATTAGATCCGAAATTCGAGAAGGCATACGTACGCATCGCCAAATGCTGCTTGCTAATGGGTGATATGGTCGGTTGCGAACAGGCTATCAAAAAAGTGTTGGATTTGGACTCGCAAAGTAATGCTGTTAAATCAGAGCAACAGGGATTGCAGCAATTGCGTCAGCTGGAGAAGACGATACAAACAAATTACGATTCCAAGGCTTTTCGCAATGTTGTCTATTACTTGGACAGTGCATTGGCAATAGCACCTGCCTGCATTAGGTGACATCGTATTATTAATTTAAATATTTTTGTAAAAATATAACTGATCAAATTTCATTACACAGATATCGTTTGCTCAAAGCCGAATGCCTCGCTTTTCTCGGTCGGTGTGATGAGGCCGTTGATATTGCCGTAAGCGTTATGAAGCTGGACACCACTTCGGCTGATGCTATATATGTTCGTGGTTTGTGTCTTTACTACACTGATAATCTTGAAAAAGGCATATTGCATTTTGAACGCGCACTCCAACTTGATCCCGATCATAAAAAAGCCAAAGAGATGCGAAACAAAAGTAAAGCTCTCAAAGAGATGAAGGAAAATGGCAACACCCTCTTTAAGTCTGGTCGTTTTCGTGAAGCACAAACTGTATACACAGATGCACTAAAGATAGATGAGCTGAACAAGGACATAAATTCGAAACTTTTATACAATCGTGCATTGGTAAACTCCAAAATCGGTGCATTGCGTGATGCCATCGCTGATTGCACAAGAGTTTTGGATATCAATTCACAATATCTGAAAGCTTTGCTTTTACGTGCGCGCTGCTATAATGACCTAGAGAAATTCGAAGAGTGCGTGAATGACTACGAAACTGCTTTGCAGTTTCAAAAAACTCCCGAAATCAAGAAACTATTGCGCGATGCAAAACTTGCACTGAAGAAGTCGAAGCGTAAAGATTACTACAAGATCCTTGGTATTTCTCGCAACGCAACCGAAGACGAAGTAAAGAAGGCATACCGAAAGAAGGCATTAGTGCACCATCCTGACCGGCATGCTAATAGTAGTGCTGAAGAACGCAAAGAAGAGGAACTGAAATTCAAAGAAATTGGGGAGGCCTATGCGATTTTGTCAGATCAACGGAAAAAAATGCGTTATGATAGCGGTCAAGATATAGAGGATCAAGAGCAAGGTAAGTATAAGTAACAAGAGCCAGCGAATACAAGCAAAGACTTATTTCAAGTCCATAACAATTAGTTAAAATAGCTCATTAAATAGTAGATAAAAATTTCAAGAGTGAATTTACCGCTAATTTGAAATTAAAATGTGTAAAAGTCGCGTTAACCTCAAGGAACTAAATAAATTTATATGCAAACTCACAAAAATACACAAGATCGTTTTAAGCTAAAACATCAAAATACTTTAAGTTATCAAGCGGTTAAATTTTCACTTTCACCCGCAGTCATACTAACGAACATTGTGCAAGTTTCATATAATCCAGACTAGGGAGACATTGGTTGCAAAGAAGCACTTTTACACTTATGAATCGAAGCGACGGAAAAACTAATACAACTAACTGTTTTTATTGAAGTGAAATTTCTTAAGCTAGGTCGGAGATGTTGCCGTTAAATGTTTTATGCCACGGTGAAGGTGGTTGTTGTTGTAACAGCACACGAAAAAATAAAACGAAAGTCTGTATTCAAAGCCTCCTTGGGCTGGGCGGTTAGAGACAAAGACAAGGATGTACACAGAAACAAAGACAATGATAAATATAGGGATTACGACAGACAGACATAAAGACAAACGCGAAGGCGTAGTCAAAGGCAATCACAAATAAAAGACAAATATAAAAATATGTATGACAAAAATTAGGATTGAGTTCAAGGAGTAAATGAAGGCAAAGATGAGCATGAAGATGAACTTTAAAATAACAGATGGAGGTGAAAATTAGATATTAAGGTGGAGATGAAGATGGAGGATAAAGATACAGATAAAGACGAAGACAGATAAAGATAAACATTAAGAAATGACATAGACATAGGTAAAGATAAGGATAAAGATTAGCAAATTGTTATAAACAAGGGGATTAAAAATAAAGCTCGCGCAAAAATTGCGCAACCAAAAATATAATAGAATATTTATTGCAAACTTCTTTTCTGGAATTTTTTCCTATGAAAGTTCACTTCTTCCGAGCATAGGGACTACTCGCACGACCGTTCCCACTATAGTCGGGTCTACGTAACCGGAACGACCCAGATTTATATCTGGCCAAGGACTTTAACTCCAGCAACACTTCCCAAAAACTCTTTGAGGAATTTGTATCTGTTGCAACAACAACAGCACGCACTCAGTTTTTCTTAAAAATTTATTGGCCAATCATTCCCTCCTTACCTGGCGTTCTGCACGTAAAACTAAATGTTTTTTTTTTACAGATTTGGATCCAAATCAAATGTTCCGGCATTTCTTCCAATTTAGCAGTGGAACAGGACCCGGGGCATCATTCGGATTTGAATTTTAAATTTTGCATGGACACCTCATCACAACCACAATCTTTTTCGTAGGATATTTGTCAACAAAGCAAGCGGCGGAGATACATTTGTGCAAAAGTTAAAAATGAAACCAAAACCAAATTGTTACCGTTGCTTGTCTTGTCGCAAATTCGAAGGAAATTTAAAACAAAAATAAAATTACCAACGTTTTATGTATTTTTATTTAAATATATATTGAGTATTACAAGGGTTTTGCAATAGCGGTTATCGAGAGAGCGAACCGAATTAAATTCTAGTTCATTGTAGAATTCCAGCTATTATAACTAAGCACAATTCATATTCCGATGGAAACAAGAGTTATAGAAAATTTTTGTAACAAAAATTGTGGACGGTAAATTAAAAGCAGTAATACTGGATACTTAACAACCAAAAACACAACAGTAAAGCATTTTTGATTCCCAATTTAAACATATACAATTTCAATTTATGTATGTGAATGTCTACTTGTTTATAATGTCAATAAAAGAGTACATCGATGGACTTCAATGGGAATGTGGGTATACTCTGTGTATGATTGTGGTGGTCGGGTATTTTTAACTCCCAACGTTAATGAACAGACTGTTACAATTGTAAATTCAAATTTAATTTAGTTTTTAATTTGTATTAAATAATATTATACATTCAAACAAGAGTTTTTATAATCTTACTAGACTTATTCCGCGACTTTGCCCGCTGCAAGCGTTGAGCCAAATTTTAACAGTAAAGCCAAGATCAAATTTCACAACAAAGTTAGCTTGCACATCTTGCTGAGTATATTCATCTGGGCCGGATTATAGCATGGGCCGTCAGGCCCGCGGTTCAGGGATTCCACATTAATTTTACTAATTTTGATTCATTTTGTCCTGGATACGACATGAAACTCGGCAACATGAGACAAGGGCACGCAATTTATTTGCCATCGCCTATATGCGAAGAACGCATACCTTTGATGGAACAACGGTTCAGCGTACATTCCATACTGTGCACATTTACTGAATTTGATCGCAAAGCACCCGCCTCAAGGCAGTCTTCGACAATGCAATATGAAATTTTGATTACTAAAGTGTCAGCCTTGGAAACATTTAGTCTCAAAAATTTATGGCATATCCGTCAAGTCCCGCTGATGCTACAAAAGCTTAATTTTAACATTTTCAGGTATCTTAAACTTTTAAAATGAAAGAATCGTTAATTTCAAAAATAAGAAAATATCTGCGACAGATATCCTGCATGCTGCCATCTTTTTTAATTTGGTGGCACGCTCTTGAAACTTCACAGATATTTTGCGTTTGTTGCCAACTTTCATTACCTCTAATTTGAAAACTTCCCGAAATTAACAAAAAAAAAAAACAGTTATTATTTTTGCGGGTTGCAATAAAAAATTAGTATTAAGCTCTACTCAGAATTACAGCGGACGGCGGTAAAGCGGTCGGCTGTTCACCTACCGCAGTGAAATCGGTCAGAGTAAACACAATTGCGGCTGATGACGGCTTCCGTTAACTGTCATTTTGATTTGGAAATTTTCATTAAAATATTTTTATTTGTTTGGTACGTGCGTGTGTGTATATTTGCTGGAAATAAATTGTCTCTTCCAATAGCAGTCCGGTTTAAAGGATTTAGTCAGAACTTACCGGAAGTCGTTCCTATTGACATAAAACCTGTAAGTGGGAACACATTTGAGAGAGTAACTGAGCAACTGTTCCTAGTCAGAAGTTACAGGATTTAGTCCGGAGTTTCTTTTCCTGTAAGTTCATGAAAAGTGTCAAACGATCAGCTGATTTGCATGTGCAAGCAAAAACAAACAGCGATGAAAGCAAAGTACCTTTTATTTGTAAAAAAATGGAAGTAAACAACGGAATGTTTGAATATGTATAGATTTTAATAATTATTTAGTGATATTTCAGCTAAATCAGTGTTGAACAAATGACATGTAAACAAACCGACTGACGTTTTTACAGGAAATAGTGCTTTTTGCGTTCCTATGCACTTCTGCATCTGTTCTCCTTTTACTCTCATTTGAGAGCGTAAAATTGTAGTTTGACAGTTCCACAGGTTTTAGTCCGAAGTTCAAAGGAACAGACTAAGTGCTTTTTGCGTTCCCGTGCACTTTTCCATCTGTTCCTTTACTCTCACTTGAGAGAGTAAAATTGTAGTTTGACATTTCCACAGGTTTTAGTCCGAAATTCAAAGGAACGGACTAAGTAATGGTTAAAAGCATTTGCAAACTTGTGAAAATAATAGAAATTATTACAATCAACAATGTGCCGCCCTCGCTGGGCGGTAAAAATGTTGCTACCGCAATTATGTGCCATTCCATATGTCTTCGTGAGTTTTGATTTTGACAGCGGTTAACCGTCGACCGCTTTACCGTCGCCCGCTGCAATTCTGGATAGAGAAGAGAATTCTTGAAAATCAATATTTTTCGACCGGAAAACTATGGTTCTCTTCAGGATACTTTCAATAATAATACCCAATTGTTTATTTAACCATTTTTTAATACTAACGATTTTTTATTGGTCGCCCCACTGTATTTTTCGGGGTTTTTGTGGGTTTTTGGTTAAATAAACAATTGGTTATTATTATTGGGAATCTCCTGCAGATAAATAGGGTTTCCTGGTAGAAAAAATATTGATTTTTAACTATTCTATAGCATTTCCCCATATAAAATATATGGAAAACTTTGTGCGCTTTGAGCCACCTCTAAATATTTTTTGATTTCAAAATAAAAAAAAAATAAAGGTATATAGAATATTCGATACTCAACGAAAATTTCGACATGGTTGCATAGCTAATAATACGAATTTCACTTTCGATCTTCGATAACCATCTTTAACGAGTGGTGTCCTTTGCTAGCTCCAAATAAAACAATATGCAATTCTCGACACGAATAGACCGTAGGTACACATTTATTATTTTCCTTTAGATTTTTGTATTTAAACTTTGTTTTTGGTTTTACAATTCTTGCCAGTAATTACTTTTTCTAAAAATCTTTCTAACTAGTACGTACGTATCAAAATAAAACTTAAAAACTCTTACATCTAAGTCCAGTTAAACAAGGTACAATATAACATTTTATCTTTTATATTTTGTGGTTGCTTTTATGTCTTATACTCATATGTTTTGTTTTTGTGGTTCCTGTAGTTTTGTTCAAAGGAATGTCCTCCTTGCGTAGGTGCATATTTCCTAAGGAACGAGTTTTACGTTATTTTTATAAAATTTTATACCGGATTTATCGTTGGATTTCGTAGACATTTATAAATTCCAATCACCTTAGCGACAACGTATGTATGTACTTATGTACATATACTATAATTTCTTACGATGGTCATTCAAGCATAGAGTACTCATACATAAATTGAATTATAATAGACATACATACATACATACATTTGTAAGTATAAACACTCATGTCTACGTACTTACGTCTAATGTATGTATGTATGTATATGTACATATGTATGTATATGATAAAACGCATAATTTATAACTAGGGAAGACAAAAATATGCACAAAAAACTTAATTATATTGATCATTAAAATGACTCCGAAATATTGAAAATATGCTTGATATATGCCCAAAAAATGTATATGTATAACGAAATTTTTTTTTTGATTAACACATACAAAATGTATTCAACAAAGTGTGATTGAATTTGACATTGTCAAATTGGGAAAATTTTTTATGAATTTTGAATCGGTTGTTTATATTTTTTGGCATAGTAGTACCTTAAAAGAGAGCCGACCAGAGTTGTCAATCACACCTTGTTTAACACACCTTTCTTACATATACATATGTATTTTGAAAATGAACGCTCTACGTCACAAGACTTTGTTGGACAGAATTTAAAAGATGACAACTCTCCAGGTGAAAATATTGCAACATTTGATTGAAGTGTTGCTTCACACAAAATATTTTTGTTGCTGATATTGAGCAGCCACAATAGATGCAGAATAAAATTCCCTGCTCAGTTCGCAACACACTGTGAAACTGTTAAACAGCTTTCGCTAAAAACGAAACATTTTTATTGAATTTTTCAACCACCAAAACCGGTTTAGCGCGAAACTTCACTATTGGAAAACAACAGCCGAAATATTTTTACGAGCATATTAAAATTGTTTACTAGAAAATAAGGGGCCTTCCCGTTGTTTGTCAGCTTTTTCTTTTTGTCAATTAAACAAACCTCGCCAGCAACCCTGGCTATCTCCGCAAATGTATTGTCCGATGAAATTATGCGAAAATTAATTAACTTATTAGCAAAATAATATTTTTTTTTTTGTTGCATTTTTATGCCTTTTCGGCCAAAATATGCATTTCGTGTCATAATATGCATTTGTATATTTTTGTCTTCCCTATTTATAACACAAATCTGTGACTGATATTGTTTTACGGTTCATTGATGAGCTTTGTTTGTACGACTGTGTGCACATGTAGTCTATCATAATATACAACAAATTTATAATACATTTATGCACATACATACATATGTATGTATGTATATGCTTGCAGACATTTTCACACCTTTAGTTTGGGTATCATTTCGTTTCGTGTATTGTAAAAACTCCTTAAATATATATGAAGTGTATATTCTCAGTAAAAATATATATATCAATAGTTACACCATAGAAAAAATACATATAATAAACGTACAAAACCATAACTGTTGAAATTCTTAATTTTAAACACAGTTGAATTCTCTAGTTCTACTTATCCAATAGGTTTCTCTGTTTAAAGTAGAGTTACTTAATTATATATATATGTATGTATGTACAATGTATATTTGTTTTAGACAAAGGTATAATACATAAAAAGACGACGTGTCAAATAAGCGAGGTACATAATTCTTTGAATTTATTTTTTAATTGATTCGGCTCTTTTTCGTTGACTTTATTCTTTATTATTTGACTTTGTTTTATGTATTCACAATGCATGTCCATGTGTACATATGTACATATGTATGTATGTGAATATTTGATTTTAATATATTGATTACTTGCACTGTATTTTTCTGGACAACTTTGTCTGAGAAATAAGTGGTATGAAATTGTTCCACTGTAAACTTGTGGCCTTATTCATAAATAATAATGTACATACATTTCACAGGCTTTATAAAGTGACATTTTCGTACAACAATTTTCGAATTATAAAGCACTTAAAGTGTCCTTTATTTATTTTTTATGAATTTAGGCGTTAATTTGCATAAATATTTATGTAAGAATTACAGCTATTGGCAAATAAAAGTACAACTCCTGTAAACTAAATTACTGCGATTCTTCAGAAACGAAGCCATGAATTGATTGTTTGCTAAAGCGAGGTATGAGTTGACTTTAATTTTAGTATGTCTCTAAATTTAAAATTCTTGGAATATATATCGAAGGCTCTCACATACATATAGCCAATACCCTCTCTATCTGCAATTTTCACAAAAATGAGTCTGATAAATAAAGTCCACCTAAAGGGCTGACTATAATTGGAATAAGCAAGTGTATGCAAACGTACGAATACACGAATAAGTCTTATTCTGAAGATGCAAAAGGTATGCCACAATGAACGCCAAAAAACCAATTTTGTACTGTTTTTTACTCCTCAAAATTGCGGTGGATTTTAAATATTTTGTTTTAAAAATATCAGCAATGTAAATAAGTTTTATGTTTCTACGTGAAAACTCGAATTTGGACGAAACAAAATAAATATTTAGCCGGCTGATTGTCAAAGCGCGCAAAAAGATGGGAGTTGGCCATCTTTTCGCGTCGCACTGCAGCTTCAACGATCTATGTGGCATGCTTTGTGCATTTTCATACAATTCATCTTATTAAGGTGTTCTTATACGATATGTATTTGCATGTGTACATGCACCTTTTTACATATTGGGAATGCCAACATATCGTGTAAAGGCAAATTAGATTTGTTTCCGTACAAAGCAGATGCACGTACATACGAAATAGAATTGTTTCTATTTTCATCTGCCACACAAATATAAAATCATCTGAGTTTAAATTATTTCGTTTTCAAAGTACGTATTTTTAAATAGTTAAATAGAGACTGTGCATTTGACAGATATACGCAATTACATATGTATGTATTGAAAAGGTCACATTTACAGATGCAAATAACACCGAGGCCTGTTCCAGAAGGTTGTCGATGGCCCTACCTCCGGCGTAACCCGACAACCATATGTGTAGAATTCTATGTAAATATGTATGTACGTTCAAAAGGCTACTCTTTGCCTATGTCTGAGTCGAAAGCGTGTTCAGAACTGCCTTCAAGCATTGAATTTTTAAAATATTTTCGGCCACTTGTTGACATAGGTATGTGTGAATATTGGTCATAACTTGACAATTGTTGATTTTGAAGTGCTCCGAAATTTTAGTTTAGTTTAATATAAGTTTGGTAATTTTTTGTTGAATTTGGTAACTTTTTCTGGTAATTTTGGTAAAAAATAAAAACAAAGGCAACACTGAACACATGTAAGTAAAATATAGCCACTAAAAAGTCTACACTACCTTGCTTATGCGTTCGACAGGCTTTTCGTTCATTATCTGACAGTCGGCCCTTAAGACTTAACAGTCGGCTGGTTAGTAGAATTTACCATCGTACAGTTCCATAAGTAAAGTAACTCTTCTTCTTAACGTTTTTTCTGGCAGGCTGTAGGTGTGTGTTTGGTGTATTGGTGTTTTTGGTTCAGTGTGTTAGTGTATTTTGAATAAATTGTAATAGAAATAAAATAAATTGTAATAGAAATGAAAGAAATTGTAAAAGATAAGAGCACATTCCAAAAAACAGGTGATCTCGGCTGTACGCATTTTTTGGCAATCAGCTGATAGTGTTTTTACTTATGAAACTGTACGATGGAATTTGCTTTTGGATTTTAAAGTTAGAATTGACATCGGTCATGACAAATAAAACCCAGAAGGGTTCTAAAATCAGAAAGTAGTTTTTGTGAAAACTGCAAATTCGGGTTTTTGATTCCGAGAAAATTGTAATAGAATTAAAATTTGGGTAGCAATTGAATTGCACACAGCACAAATAACAAGCTTACATATTGCCCTAACTGTAGTTTTAATGAAATGATAATAATTATGTACATACACATACTTACATAGATACGCTTTATCGGTTATCGGGTTATCCGGTTATTATGTTTTTATTCAGTCATATTCAGCCTCATTGCGTATGTCGTAAATTAGGCTAAATTGTACGACTCGACAACAGTAGCATTGTCTATTGTCGTAATGAAATAAGTAAGCGACTAAAATCGTTGAAAACTATACAGTGCTGCCAAGTTTTTCCGTTTTAATACACTAGTCGAGTGGAAATTTTAGGCAATGGCGAGGAATTTTCGATACGATTCGACTCTCGAAAAACGACTTGCATTCGACACGACTCTCGCAATGAGGGTGATTATGAATTTTCACCGTGTTAAAAAATGGTTTGTTGGGGAACAACAGTTATGCATACTTAGCTTTGCATGAGAGTTGTCACATAAGAATCTGTTACAACGGGCTTTGCGTGTAAGCGGTTACCCAACGCATAGCACTTAACATGTAGAATTCTGTTGAGTTTCGATTTTTACTTAAAAATGGTGTATAGCAGTGCAAGTATGCATAACTGGGCTATTATTTAGCTTTTAAAGTTAACGATAGCGTATGTCGCGATACGAAACCGTTGTGAATACCCCAAATAACTAGATAACCTAATAAAC